AGTAGGTGAACTTTTGTAATGACTGAAATACATACCTGCGTATTAGTTTCTGGAAGGCGTATTATTTGTTTAATTTTACTAATGGAATGACAGAGTCGAGGTCCTGCGGGATTATTCATATACAGGCTGAAATTAAACCCGCGTATTTTCTATCAACAGGACAGCAGGTGATACGTTCAGGGCCGGATTTAGGGGAGGCCAGGCGGGGCTACTACCCCGAGCCCCCCACAATAAGGATAAAAAAATATCCAAATTTGGACGGATCAGCAACTTTTACGTTTTTCCTCCGAAACATTTTTGCAAAATCTAGAAAAATCCGTTTTCGAAAAGGTCTTGTGAAATATTTAATTTTTCTCAAGATTTGCATTCATGAAAGATTTTTAGAGGTGTAATGATGTTTGATTTTTTTGTATTTTTTATTTCACCTACCTACAAAAAAATAGTATATTGTACAAGTGAGAAAAACGACATATTTCTCACGAGCGCAGAAGTTTGTTGGCACGATCCCAAGTTGTTATGGAAACGCCGACAATGGGCTACTTGGATATTGCACGCGAATTGTCGGCGTAGCGTTGTCAACATGAAGAACGTGTCATATCAATCTTACATGTAACAATTCATGACTGTCTTGGGTTATCGTGATAATAGTGAGAAATTATTTCTCACTGTAATGGCGGATATTTCTCACTTCGTGAGAAATATTTCGTTTTGAACATATGAAAGCGATGAGAGAAGTGTCACATTGTATAGCATTCGTAGAAAAAAATATTTACAGATGTTCCTTTCAAATGTAAACGAGAGAAAGGACCTGTCTGAAACAACTACTTCCCCTTACGGTTATTAAATTTTAGTAGTAGTTTCTCCACGAAATATCTATCCCGTATAAACAGAACTGAACCCGGCAGTTATTCATCAGAAAGCAAAACAACCTAAAAATAGTACCACAAGGCCTCAAAATATTAACGATAAATTTCCATTTTTTAACTAAAACTAAGTTTTCTTTAGCAATACCATGACAGCAACCATCATGATAAAACCACGAGTCTGTAGGACTAGTTATTTGATTATTAATAAAACTATTACTTACATTGACTGATTACTGCTCAGAAATCAACGGGATGCTCAAAATAACACACGAAATCACTATAGAACACTGCAATATCCGCAAAGTAAAAAATTATATTATGGCAAACCACACACACCGACGCTACTTGAGTTTTCAACAATCCACGAAGCCGACTAGATAGCATTTGTTTCCCCAGCCAATGTGACAAACGAGAAAATTAGCGGTTTCATATGAGCAAAACATCCAAGTCCGTATAATAATTGTATTGGTTGAAAAACATGTAAACCGACCAGAAAACGGAAATTTTCAATAGTGATATAGTCAGATCTACGTCCGGTCTCTGGTAGGCCTCATCCGCAACATTTTATAATCTTGTCTTGAAAAAAAAAAGTTTCTTACCGCATTAAGGTTATGTGTGTGGAGGAAATGAAATGTATGGAAGTAGGTGAACTTTTGTAATGACTGAAATACATACCTGCGTATTAGTTTCTGGAAGGCGTATTATTTGTTTAATTTTACTAATGGAATGACAGAGTCGAGGTCCTGCGGGATTATTCATATACAGGCTGAAATTAAACCCGCGTATTTTCTATCAACAGGACAGCAGGTGATACGTTCAGGGCCGGATTTAGGAGAGGCCAGGCGGGGCTACTACCCCGAGCCCCCCACAATAAGGTTAAAAAAATATCCAAATTTGGACGGATCAGCAACTTTATTTTCCTCCGAAACATTTTTGCAAAATCTAGAAAAAACCGNAGGCACTTGACACGGCTAGATGCATAAACTGTACGTCGCGTATTCCTTTCAATTTCAATTTGCTACCATTCGAACTGAAGCAATACCTAAGTTCCGATTAAGATATTGAGATTTCAGAGTTATAATTTGGTGAAATTCATGGTGGAGTTTGAATTGAAGATTTTTTGTTTCATTTTAATGTTATGTGAATCAGAGAAGTGTGGCAATTCGTTTTTCATCTCGATCTCTTGTATCTGTTCATTGTATTGGTGAGTTTTGATGGATTTATATATTCATCAGAGTTGTGTCAGTAGAATTAGGGTCTAGTCACTGTCTAAGGTATAATTTCAAATTGAACTTGTGAATTCCCGTAGGAGCATTTATGCAAAGTTATGGTGCCCATTTCTTCTGAAGCATGGGGGAAAGTACATTTTCTAACGCTAGTTGCACACACACCGATTTTGGACGGCCGATATTATACCGGTCGTCCAAATTCCAATAGTGAACCACATGAGGGAACGGGACCTTGCACACACGCCGACCGGTGATCGTCGCCGGTAAAATACCGGTGAGCAGCCGTCCCCTGCCACTGTATCGCCGGCAGTACCGGGAAGTAGTGGCGTACATGACTAAATACACTCTTGCATACTCACCGGTTTTTTACCGACCATTCCAGTCTCGAATGCTCGGTGAAATTGTAGTTACAAATTTCTGCTATCGAAAAGAACGGATTAAAGAATTTGCATCAAATTTTGTGTGAAAAACAAAATTGGGTGCTTAACAACACTTGAAACGTTGACAGTGACATACGGTGATTGTACTCTGAGTCAGAAAAGTGGTACAAGCTTTCCACAGAAGGTCGAAAAGATGTGAATGACGACGCTCGCCCTAGACGCCCCAGCACATCAACAACCAATGATAATGTTGAGAAAGTGAAGAAAATTACTGGAAAAGGAAGTTTTTGGTCTTATACTTCTCCATCTTGATACAAAAAATGTGGGAATCTTCTGAAGAAAGGAAGGAAGCAGTCAATTTCGAAAATTAACTCTATACAAAGATGTGTAGATCATGCAAAGAAGTAACTTTCAGACACAAACTGGAAGAACAGCTATTTTCTAATAAACATTGAATTATACGAAAGAAAAATACTATCGAAACAAATACTTTTATATGAACACTGAATTATACGAAAACACTTTTATCTGTTCCGTTTATATTCCAAACTTTCGTAATGGAATCGAATCAAATATCATTCATAGAATTCCTACACAATATAATTAATGAAAGAAGTAAAATCTCACTTACATGGAACACTGTCATCCTCACTGCTAGACATTCGATGTTTCGCCGTAAGACACTTGCATTATCGGCTCTTCAGTAGCAAATACGGATAACATTATAAAAAAACACTCAATTCGTTCATAATTACGACTTCTTTGTCACGGAATGGGTTGAATCTACCCATGTCATCGATGACAGTACGTAAATAACATTCATTCGCTTATTTGATTGAATCCCAGCCACAGGAATCTTGCTTATAATTGAGAGAATCGTCGAATCATTAGAGGAGTTGCTGAGGATGTCGGCATATCGGTTAGCACGATTTTCATGTAATTATCCGAATTGTGAGTGTGTTTCATATGATAGAAAACACATATTTTCTCACTCAAAAAACACATTACTTGTGTAAGCTATGTTTCATGTCCTTTGTCTTAAGTATGTAAAATGATTCATAGTTTCGGAAATGTGTCAAGTCTGCAGTGAAATTTCAATGGAAAACATTTTACGAATNATTTTGCAGTGTCATATTTTCAAGATCCTCAATTTGAAAAGATGGCAAATATATTGTCAAAAAGGGAATAGTGATTATTAACATAATATTTTCCACTTGTCTAATGAAAGAACATAATTTCCTAATTTCTGTTGTTCTCATACAGAGAAAAATTCATATTCACCATTTCAACCAATATTCTTTCTATTAATACTTGGCGTTTTGAAAACGCAGTAAAATAATTACAATGAAAATAATATTTTATTCAGAAGTACAATGTAATTTAGCATACTGCTATCACACAATATAGATAGAATTTCACACAACTGACGATGTAATCATACATAATAACTCGAGTGAATTAGGGGTTCATTTTATGTGATACTACAAATGACAATTACAAGTGAATTCATAATAAGCCATGTGATTCCCTGCATTTATGGTCGAAAATTACAATGGAGATTGTGAAAATTACAGTACTTGTATGGTAAAATCACATGACTCAATATGTATGTTCACAAAGAGTTTTCACCGAATTCATTTCGTAATATGACGTTCACAGAAATCCCTGTGATATTACATGATTTTACGTTGGTTACAAAAAGGCCAACGTAATAATATGTGACTTCACAAGATTAATTTTTGCAGTGGGTCATAACTGGTGATGAATCATGGGTATATAGTTATGATATCGAAACCACAGTCCAATCAGCCCAATGAAAGAGCCCAGTAGAGGCAAGACCAAAGAAAGAACGACAAGTTTGATCAAATGTCAATAAGGAGTTATGCGCCGCTTACTAAAAGCTACACGAAGAAAACGTCCGGTATTGTAGAAAAACAATGCATGGCTTTTGCATCACGATAATGCACATGTATACTCGTCATTGTTTGTTCATAATTTTTTCGCCGAAAACACCACCGTAATCATGCTTTAGCCACCGTATTAACCAGATTCAGCCCCCTGCGACTGTTTCCTGTTCCCAAGATTGAAGAGACCTATGAATAGACAGCGTTTAGCGACGATTGAGGAGATGAAAAACGAATCGCCGAGAGCTCAAGGACATACCAAAATATGCATATCTGAACTGCATCAATGATTTGGGAAAAAACGCTGGCGCAAGTGTATTATATCTAAGGTGGACTACTTTGAAGGGGACAAAATAGAAATTAATGAATAAATTAATATTTTTTGAACCAACCTCGTACACTTTAAAAATCTACTTTTGCCTTCGACTCGGAAATATGAAATTGACCAGAAGATATGTAGATAATTAAATTCAGAAATGTAATAAGTGAATTTAGATTCAGTAAATTTAGAAATCAAAACGGTTTCATGCACCTTACAGAGTCCTCCTGTATAAAGGCGGGGTTATAATCAAGCAAACATTGAAACTACTTCAGCAAATAGGGGTGAGGTCTGCAAAAACACGAGTTGTGCAATCCTCGAGAGGCCATTATGCTGTATTGAAATTTAATTATTTCAACATGGTATGCAATGCAAGAGCATAATTATTTTCGAATTATCCGCTTAAATCAATATTCCAGGCTGACGAAACATTTATATGCAGATATGAATATACTTTACACTGGAAAACTAATGGAAAAAAAGATTGTGACAAAACCATGTTTGGGCCATGTTTACGAAATTCAGACAGTACTGAAAAATTATAATTTAGATCTGTAATATTCACATAAAATCAATAATATCAGTAATTCAAACAAACTGTTTTATATTTAGAAAAGAGAATTGCAACTTTCTATGTTTTTTACCACTTTAATTTGTAACTAACGTACTGCAGTTTCGTCCTATAAGGACATTTTCAAACTTATATATTAAACTAACAACGGTTTATTACATTAACCCTTAAATAGCACCCCTATAGGTAATAAAAGAGGTTCTTTGCTTGATTTACAATCTTTACCTGAATTTACAATTTACAATGCGGATGTGCTAATTTGAAAACTGGTGAGCAAAACTAAATCGATTTGATCATTTAACAGGTTGCACCAGCAATGTTTATGCTTGTGAATTTCCAAGAATTCTAAATAATTGAGTTTGTAACCCTTCCTTGCATACTGCAAAATTTCAGTATCGTTTAGATTCGGTAACATGTGGTTGCATTCCAAGGAATGCATTTTTTCCTAGTCTGAAGGACGTTTCATGTTCAGCATAATGTTTTTGGAAATTTCGACCACATTTTCCCACATAAACGCTATTACACTCCGGACACTTAAGCTTATAAACTCCAGATTTCTCCAACTTGTCCACCTTATCTTTGGCATTGAAAAGAAAATCAGATAACCTGGCATGTGGTCTGAATGTTTATTTTATTACCAAATTGTTCATTTCCAAACGTTACAAATATACAATAATATAAGAACCAATGACACAGGGTCTCATTCAACCTTTGGAAAACTTGATCAAATGAGTTTTTCATATGAATCTTCTGAAGAATCAGGTGCAAGGCAAGATCTTAACAAAAATTACTGTGTCATATGGCAAGTAATGACTTTTGTGGGTAAATTTTTGATATCTTGGGTTATTACTAGAGTTTTATCCGAACGCCAAACCGTTATTTTTAACACCTCGACACTTGTTTCATCTTGAGTTGTTACAAGTAACGGTTTGGTGTTGGGAAAAAAACTCCAGTAATATTCATTACTGCACCAAAAGTTCCAAACAGTGCATTACAAGTATCTTGGGTTACATTACAACTATAAATTTTTCGAAAATAAAATACAGCACGTTACTTGCTGATAATGTAGCTTATGTTACTAATATTATTATTCATCTCCAACTTGGTTCTTGAATTGCGCATCGAAAAGAGTATTGCATTTCTGATAATTGGGAAAAGTGCTTGTTTTGGAAAATTCTGCCTCGAAAGCGATTTGTTGTAAAAAATTCTGCAAGTTTTTGAAAACTGCTTTGAGAAACAATTTTTTACGTGAAAAGCCTGATAGTAAATTCTGCAGAAAAAATATGACAGGTTGTGAAAAACAAAATAGAAATGAGGGTGATACTGACCGTTAATGAAATATATATTCAAATACCTATAATATAATAAGTATTCGTCCTAATATGTGTAAGATTATGTATCGGTTTTGTTGGGTGCATGATATTGAAAATTTGTGAAACGATTATCCAACATTCTAATAAAAATATTAAATGTTTTTTGTTATCAGATCCCATTAGCACTTTGATGTTAATTTGGAGTATGGACGTCAACTTATATTGCAACAATTGCTACAAGATAATGAGAATTTTTACTGTCACCTATAATTTGCTGATAATGACATATCACAACACTCAAAAAAGTTATATCTGAAAACATGAACAAACATCCATATGCAAATATTATTGAAAATGACAAAATGTTGCATTGTTGGTCTATGTTTACAGTCGATTATTTGACGAAATTACTGAATAACTATCGAAAACTGTAGATAGCGTTGATAAACAAGTAATAGTTTATTTAATCTACATATTATCCACATACATACTCATATCCAACTCGCGATTCTACCAAAAAACTAAATGGTATGGTATAAGGTCAAAACGCAAACACTACGGGAAAATCTTTAAGGCGCTCTGAGCGGTGCCTGTGCGTAAGTGGCGATTCACATTGGATTTGAATCGCTGGAGATTAAATCCATTTGGAAAAACCTTCTCAGGAAGTTTATGCCACATAAACGCAGTTCTCCAAATGAAAGAGTTCTCAAACAGCGAAGTTCGAGGTGTACTGAGTTGACCTCAGAACGATGAGCAGCCACAGTCCGTCGCGTATTTCTGTACCTTTCTTGGCGGAATAAAATGTGCCAAGTCACTTGAACACCTCCCGTGAAATTACCTATAAAAGAGAGACAAATCTCCAACCTTTCTTCGATGTTCCAGACTATCAAAGTTGCAAATGATGTTCGCGTCTCCAATCGGGGGGATGGTTCTTTTCTGCATGAAACCCAACAGCTTCAGAGTATGCCAGCAGCCTGTATGAACACTACCAACACGCAGATCGGGGAAGTCTAGTTGAAAGTGCGGTACGAAGTGATCTGATAATGCGGTAGACATTTGAATATTACTCTGAAGTTTCAGTTGAAGTGTTTGTGTTGTATTGTCACTGTGGCAGTGATATAAAGTTGAGTGTTAAATTGTACAGTGAAGTAATTTATTGTCAAACCCACGAGGAAACGTAATGTTAACAGGGCGTTTGTTTGGTTTTTCTACCAATTGAGGTTGAAGATGGAAAAACATCACTAATGAAACATGTGAATCATGAGATTTTCGAATATTGCAGTGTATCCAATAATAAATGAAAATAGTGCTGAAATCGATGAACAATCAGAATTCAAGAAATCCATTCTTCTCAGTAATTCCGGAGTTATCAGTAACATGAACTATCACCAGACGCGGTTCGAGGAGGATGTCATAAGGGTCATGATCTCCTCAATCGTACCTACATGTCAAATTGACAAAACTTTGAAAAATTGACAGTTTACCATAATTATATAAATTATCAACTCCCCGTTCAACTGCCAATGAAATCAAAGATAGGTAGGTATTCAAAATAATTTCCAAAGAAACACTTTACTTCAAATTATATCATCTCAGTAACAATTGGCGCAGTGAGATTGATTGCTCCTTATATGTTAAATTATATTCAACAGTGAATAACTTACTTTATTTCATTCTGTAGTGAATCAACTCACCCTTTACTCATTTGCAGCCGTTAAATCGAGCATTACGGTACGACGGTACCGTAATAGATAGATAAATTTTCTGCGTTCTAAACATTCATCCAGAGATTGATTTCGATGTTTATTCATTTGTGGTCGACAGTATAAGTTACATATAATAATGATATAAGGAGGGGCCCTGTTATAGGCTTATGCCTCTTCAGGGTTGGGTTCCTTTACAAATAATTTAAATTAAAATTATCAGAGTTTGTAGTTGCGTTATTGGTTGGAGTGTCCGGGTCTATGGCCGGGGGAAGTATGCCCGAGACTTCGGGTGTTCCAGGCCGTGCGCTGTCCTCTATCTGATCGTCAGTGGTACGCCTCAAGGATGTCCAGGATTTGCTCCGTCGGGTCTTCCACTGCTCCCAGGAGTCTGGCTGGGGGGAACGGTAGCTTCTTTCTTGGTATTCTTCTGGGTCCTCCACATGACGTCCAAGGCTTTTGGGGTTGTGTTAGTGATTTACAATGTGCATTTACGTATAGGGTGGAGCCCTGCTATAGGCTTATGCTTCTTGAGGGTTACAGTTATTTAATCTTATCTATGTTAGTGTTTGTGTGTTTTCCTTTGTTTGTCAGGGGATCCTGGTCCATAGCTGTGGTCATTGTTCGAGGGATATCGGTTTGTGTTAGGCTAGGGGTGATGTGGTTGAGTCTTCAGGGTATTCCAGAGCGTGTACTGATAGCCAGAGATAACCTGAGACATCTAAAATATCAACATTAGATTTGACAATGGTAACAGAAGGATCCCTTCGTTAGTTGTCTTTTATTTCATGGGTCATGTATACAGGAGTTTCTCAGATATCTATTGGATATAAACAAAACAATCGAGAAACCTAATTGAGTCTCAAAGACAATAAAAGAAAAACTGGTTGACTAAGAAAAGGCACAAGACTTGTGGTCAAGTTTTTTGAGGATAGTCTAAGACTGTGGCTGTTCCATACATTAGTTAAAATATACGTTCTGTGGATACTCATCGGTCCTTAGATCCCTCTTTGGATAGGTCTCTCCTCATACCACATAGTAGTAACAAACTGAGACTTTCAAAATGATTGTATTTTTTCACAAAAGGAAAAACTCTGGACGAAGAGAAAAAATTACGTTATCAATTGAGAAAACAAAAAAAAATGCGTAAAATCTCTTTCAATCCATTATATTTTCCAAAATTCAGTTATACATTCAAACAAAGTATCTCTGAAACTATCAATGTTTTTGCTTTCCTCGGAAACTTTCTATTTTCGTCGAAAAATTCTCTATATTTCTGTATTCTCAATCCATTATTGATGCTAACACTGGACGTGTTATATAAATAAATATTAATGAAAACTTGAATCATATGAACTAAACAACAATGGTTTCCAACGTAATGTATCTCTCCATAAGAGATATTGGAGGAACCACATGAAAAAAACGAGTCTAGTAATTTTCATTTGTGACGACGTTTGGAAAATACTGTTTTTCGCTTATAGTTAAAATGAAACTATATAAAAGGAAAAATGAGACGGGTAAAGCATTTCTTACCGTACAAAATATATAACAAAAAAAATCCAAAAAAATGTGGAACGCTTCACGATTTTGCGTGTCATCCTTGCGCAGGGGCCATGCTAATCTTCTCTGTATCGTTCCAATTTTAGTATATGTACCGCCGAAGCGAGTACATAAGCTGTTAATACTAAGTTATATTTGTATCAATGATGACTAAGTATTCGTCGGTGACTTGTAAAGAATGTATTGTATGTATTATTGATTGCCTATGTTGAAGTGAATGAATGAATACGCATTGCCATCTCTTAAGGTAACACGGTACTATGTGTTTTACTGGTTGCCATTATATTATTTGTACAATGATATACTGAAATAAATATCCAGGATTATGTTGCATTTGGCAAAATCGATGTATTGATGCAGGGTTGTCAAAATGTTTTTGTGCCAGAACAAACATATTCGAAATTACTCTTTTTTCACATGTTGCCAAGTGATTCTTAAATGAAAAAAATTGAAAATTTCATTCTTGGGATATTGAAAAAGCTAATATTTTTGGATTCAATAGACACATTATTGTGAGATTTTCATTAAACAGTTAAACAAAAACGCAAAACTGTTCAGTGTAAATCTCACAATGTGTTTCTTAAATAGGTATGTAATGGATTTTCAATTGGCTAAGTATTGGCCGATTCCATCACACATTTTATTTTTTCATTAAAAATTTCTAATTTCATTTAGATATGTGACATCTGAATTTTGTATGTGATCATATGGTTAGATATAAATAGTTTATATGTAGGTACCTACAAATTCACATTTTCTATACGCCACTGTTATGAAAACAATTGTCAACATTTACTTTTTCGACGAAACACGTCTTGGAGAATGTCAGACTGAATGATATACTTCCTATTTTCTTTTAACTTGGCAACTACGCAGAATAGCGAATATTTTCAGCCACTTCGCATGTGCGACTGTGAAATTGGAATTTGTTCAGTTCTCAGAACGAAGGAAGTGGTTACGTCTCTTCTGATTGGACTCTTAAGTTAGGCAGGTGTGTGTTCCTGAGTTTTCACATATTTTTCTATAATCGGTAAGTTAAGTTTCCTAATAACTGATTTGTGGAAATATATTTCCACCGTTTTTCTGATATTAACAATTATTTGTGTTCAAGGGCTAACAGTTTCACAATGTTACATAACATGAAATAATTTCCAAAACATTTAATGAACAAGCGAATAACGGATAATTATAATTTGTTCTTTCAAATAACTGTGAGACTAGAATTTTCAAATTATGTAATAACCAATTCGAAAATTGGAAAAGGCGGGTAATGTAGGCACTTCTTGTTGGCTTATGTAATTTGACAATTGACATCTGCAAGTGGTCAATAGTGAAGAAGTGATCATCCTATTGATTTTTCATAAGTTGAATAGCTTTGATCTCGGCTGTGATTATAGGACTTTGAATTTTTATTGTATATATTTATTAACCAAGGCCATAAATAGGTGTGACCATGATCTAGTTTTCAAGTTACTTTAGGGTCCATTCTCATGGCCCAATTTCGTAGCTAATCTCAAATTGGAAGATCTATTTCCGGTACTTCTAGTTCAAGGTTCAGATTGTTCAGAACAAATAATATTCCCCTTGAGTGATGAATCATGTATTTTACGTCATCACACTCATATGACTACCCATTGACTGGTTTTACCACGTGTTTTAGAACCACTATCATGATGCTCAAGAAATCCCAGAATGCCATGCCTCTTTTTTTATAGATCATATATAGGCTTATCACTAAGCAGTTGAATATATTAATTTCCAGGTTTTTCAATTAACAAGGAGCAATGGGTGTACCAGCTGGTGATGTAGAAAAAGGCAAAAAGATTTTTGTCCTCCGTTGCGCACAGTGTCATACAGTGGAGGCTGGTGGAAAACACAAAGTGGGGCCTAATCTACATGGATTGTTTGGCAGGAAGACTGGACAGGCTCCTGGTTTTGCCTACACAGATGCAAACAAATCGAAAGGTAATAGTTTTAAAATAATTGGATTCACATGATAGGGCCATATTTTATTTTTATAATTCAACTTGACTACTGGCGTCCCGAGAATATAGTTGAAATCTTGAAAAAAAAATCAAGTTTGATTCGACAACATAATGTGCCTCTTTTACAGTGTAAAATTAGAATCATATATAATGAAACGTGTTTGTATAGTTTGTATGGAAAACACATTACAACTTGAAATTTTAAAAAAAGATATACTTACACATTACACAAAAGAAAAGAGTACACAATATATATTGTCGATAAATTTTAGTACTAAATGAAATCAGACAAGCAATAAAAACTATTTCGTTAACGAAAAAACTGTATATTTCAATCATGTTTTATATCTGCACTAAGATTCTGGAATATTTTCTCTACCGGCATATTCGATAATTCATTTTACATTATATTTAGCATGTTTTATATGATAATTCATTCTTTGTCTTGATGATCGAGAGTAATCATTTTTATTGATTTAAAATTCCCATTTGTTTCGGGAAATATAGAGAGATAGTTCTGTAATATAAAGAAGAGGAAGAATCAAATTGATTTATTCAAAATAGTTTTTAATACTTGTTCATTTGAAGACACTGGCCAATGATCCATTATCCCTTTTCTGTGCTCCAAAAACATCGTCAAATGATATAAAAGCTCACCAGAAATATAGTGCATATTGCAGCTTAGACTCAACAAAAACATTATAGAGATTAAGTGTTACTAGTTTTTGTAAATTCTGGACGTTTTACTGGCACGAGTAGCTAGCTTCCTTAGAGATTTATACATCTTGAGTTAATATCTCCGATGACTGAAGATATTAACTAAGGATATATAAACCTCTGGGGAAGAAATTCCAGAAATCCAAGGCCTTCAAACCCGGAAAATAGTGACGCTGAAAACCTCGGCTACAAAAACCTTAACCATTTTGTCATTATAGAGATTATTCAGTGTGGAGTTCTTGTCCATTATGAAAATGCAAACGATTTGTTTTCTAAGGAGCTTAGACCCGAAAAGTTGAGTACTTGTAATTCAATTATTCGAATTGCTCAACAACTGATTCCAGGCAAAGAGAAAAGGCCTAGTGATTAGCCCTTGGGGAACTCCCAAATTCATAGGCACACTTTCAGATTCAATATTTGTCAAGTGATGATCACTTTGGTGTTTTAATAACGTTGTGTTGAGTATTTCAATACAACAATGAGTTGAGACAATTTAATGGAGCACCATTTATACTTTTGAAAATTGATTAATTGAAAGATCATGATATCAACATGTCTTAAAATGATTGCTTTTATGAGTGAAGCCAAAAAATTTTGTATCATAATTTCAAGCATTATTTTCTAGTTAGTTTGTTCAATTTTTGAAAGTATTTGTAATTCTGACATTCAAAAAATGTATTCTTCAAACTTTCTCTGGAAGAATTTTTACAATTAATAATTTATAACCTCCTGTCACCAATTGGATTGATAAGCAATGTCTTTCGAAATGATAGGTATTTCGTAAGTTTTCATAATAATTTGATTTCGAGACATTGATTAGATTGTGGCTATTATGTTGTCATACAATATTCCCAAGGCCAATCACAGATGAGCAAAATCATAAATTTACATTTTATATCGCAAGTTAGCCTTTAGAATTTCCTATTTTAAAATATGTTCTCAAACGTCAAACTCAATAGTTGAATTGTTTTCGAAATATATAGTTTCTAATGAAAAACAAGATTAAGAACATGGACTCCAGAAGTGAAAATGAGTGTACTATGCTAGAAATTTGGCAAAGAAATTGATATATTTTTCAACTAATAATAAAATGAAACTATCTATGGTAATAATTAAACAGAAGCAAAAATATCTTACAAATTGAAAGAAGTGTTTTGGAAAATTGATATTCAGTATACTCGATTATTCATTAAAAAAACTGATGAACTTCCCCCCTCTATCTCTAAAAATTTAATTAAGCTGAGCGTGATGGGAGTAATATATTGACTAATACGTACGCAATAGTAGTTCGATAGAAACGCTATCTATCATAAGTTTCGAGAATTCTTTTGAAAAATGTCTTTATTGGATCTCACAAACTATACCGGAAATGATTTGTACATTCATAAATAAAATGAAAGTAGCTAGGAACTGAAATAACTTTGTAAGCCAGCTTTGTCTTTGTGGAGTGGTTGGTAAAACTCACAGCATATGAATTATAGAAAAGAAATACAGATGTTAAAAATCCACTGAAAATCATATCATTCATAATTTTGCGAATGAAACTAATCCACAAATTCAAAGTATTTTTTTAAAACATTCAACAGATAAGCGTTTTTTACATTTGACAAATTATCTATGATGATGTTTATTTTTTATATGCATTTTGTGTTTGAATTTCCCATGAGGCCCCATGTTTCTTAGAAAAGTGGAAATGAAAGTTATGTTACTATGTGACTTCGATAAACAAAAAGTCATATTATTCAAAGCAATAAATAGCGTTACTTGAGTTTAAAAATCAAAAGTAACATTAAAGTTATAAAAAAGTCATTTTTCAAACCGAAGTGAATTGACAAAAGTTGTTCAAATTCAGAATTTCTCATGGTATTATGGAAATTTGTTTTATATAAGAAATTTGAATGGATCAGTTTTCAGTAAAATCAATCATTATTCATTATGGTTATAATGTCTTATTCATATATTTTTTCTTTCAGGTATCACATGGAATGAAGACACCTTGTTTGAATACCTCGAGAACCCCAAAAAATATATTCCCGGTACAAAAATGTTATTTGCTGGACTGAAGAAAGCCAACGAGAGAGCTGATCTCATTGCTTACTTGAAAGATTCTACGAAGTAGGCTTTTTTCAGTTGATGATAGTCTGTGTGTTAATTGAATTACCAAGTTATTTATTACACAAATTATGTAGGACTGTTACTGTTGAGAAGGATATCATAAAATGGTTGGTTAATTCATTCAAATGCAACAGACCTTTTTGTAGTATTTTCATCTAGTACATTGTTACTATGTCATGACAGATGAGGTACTTGTACAAACTAGACAATTTTCCATAATTTAAAGTTGTGTTACATCATAACATTGTACAGTATGAAATTAACATATTTTTATGTTGTGTCCTGTCCAATCTTGAAATAAAAAATTATTTATTAAGCATCTTTTTCTTTCAAGCTGAAATCCTGATTTTATCAATAGTATTATCACAAGACCTAAAGTTTTATTGATGAATTTCCATTTAATAATGAAAACTTGTTATCCTATCAATACCGTCAGAGCAAACAGCATGATATAGCCATGAATCTGTAGAACAAAAGGTTCTGTTATTGCTGGTTGCTTGATTGGTGTTGCTCAAAAATAAGTTTGAGTTTAAATGAAATGAACATTCATCTGAGAAAGTTTAAAGGTCGTGTAGTATCCTTAAATAACATTTTCTGAAATATTTCCAGATGCATGCATCAATATAAGAACTATAAGAAAAAAAATCTGTTCAAAATCTGTTTTTCCGTTAACCAGCTGTCGCACCCCTATGAACGACAACTCTCAGAAGTCGCAACTTGTGCGAGCTAAGGAATAACGAGGTCTTAACTTTTAACGTGTGATTCCTAACACGAGTTGGACGATAGCAAGAGAAAATCAATCGTTCAGACTGGGGCTTGAACCACCGACCAACAAATCGGTGAGATCAAGTGAGTGAACAAAGCGCCCACGTCCAACCACCTGGCTACCGTCCGACCAGCAGCAAATATAATAATCGTATGAATATATGTTACCCAAAGATGGATGGATCAAATCACAATGGAACTTAACAATTAAAACCATCACCTCTTTTTCGATATGGATGTAAACAACTAAATGAATAACAATACTCGCGTCTGGCTCGCTCGAATTGACTGACTAATTCCCATCCAATCTCTCAGGCCCAGCGTTTTTTCGGGTACGACGTTTTTTTTTTCCACCCATGTCGATAGTGGTTTCTTACACAAAAATCAATTATCAAGTTTGATGAATTTTACAATCTAAATAGCAAGCAGGAACATCTGTTTGAATATACAATGTTCGAATATAAGAACAGAGTATTTCAATTTGTCAACAATTGACGAACAACCTGCTAAATACAATACGATGCATATTCTTTTCGATTTCATTATTCAGAACAACGTTTCCATTGAGAATGTTATATGAATAAGTTTCGAATATGAACTTGAATCATATCAAATTAAACCTGTGAATTTCTCTAGAAACATTTATGCAAAGTTTGAATATCCAGTTACATTATGCGGCGGTATTTGAATCTGGATTTATATCATCATTGTAGTTTCAAATCTTGTTTGTAAGATGGAATTCTCGTAAGAAAGTTGATGTAGGTACGTTCCTCCTATGAGAGATATAAAGTATTTCAAACAATAAATCTCATCGAGGAATAAAATGCAGGAGATGAAAGAACTTGCATGTGATAGCCACAAATCCCCTCAAACAGGCAAAGATAATTTCATATCTGCAGACCACACCTATAACAAAGTTTTCTAAAAGTGCAAGTTTGACTAAATTCTACCAGCAGTAAAGGGGGCTTTACACGCAACGATAAGTTGTAGCAATTTATCGTAATGATCAGATTGTTACAATTTATCATTGTGTGTAAACGTGAGATTGTAGCGATTTATTGGGATTGGAGTTGGAGTGGATGGTTGAAGCCGGCCGGCATCAATTTCTGGGAATCGTAACGATGTGTTAGGACGTGTAATAGTTGCACCAATTTATCGCTACGATTTCACTCAGTGTCCAATCTGCTTTTGCACTGTAAGGTTGTTTCATGACACATTGTTATAGGTAAACAAGGCAGAAAATGCAAATAAACAAACACTTCGTAAGTTTTTAATTGTGACTCGTTAATACTCCGACAGGAACAAAAAAGACCTAACTTATATTGAGCTAGTTAAAAAGATCAAGGAGTTTTTAAAAATATTTTTCCGTGTATCAGCTGACGCCCCAATACGAACGACAACTCTCAGAAGTTGAGAAACTTGTGCGAGCTAAGGACTAACGAGGTCTTACCTTTCAACGTGTGATTCCTAACACGGTTGCAGAATCATCCCAGCTTCTACCAGATAAATTCTCTTGAGAAAAATATCTGGTCGAGGCGGGAATCGAATCCACGGCCTTCCAATCGTGAGAAGGGCGCACTGCCACCGCGGCCAATTCCTTCTGCAGATAGGAACACTGTCTTAAAAAAATTAACGCATTGCGTACGGTTTATAAGAAAGAACATTCGAAAGTTATGAGCTGTGAGAAATCTAGGGCTGGTGCGGATGACATCTATAAACCTAGTTTGTGGTTTTTCGACCGTATTCATTTCTTGAACGACCAGGACTTTGCAAGACCAAGTGACATTTGACAAGAAATCGTTACAATTTATCGTAGCGTGTAAACGGTGCTCTACTCTTTCGATTTGTTGGAGCGATAAATCGTTCAATCAATTGTTACGATTTATCGTCGCGTGTAAAGCCCCCTTGAGTAGCAATGAATTCATCAAATTCCAAAATATGGTCAAGGCACTAGGAAAATCAAATGAAGGACTGTTTAGATTGAAATTTTTCATGTCAGATATGAATCCCGAAATTTCTTCATTTTTTTTATTAATAAAAAACATCAATAGGCGGGTAACTAAGAATGTTTTACGATTTTTAACACTGAATTATACAAAAACATTTTTCTCTACTCTACTCCACTTTTTTTTGTATAATGATGGAGTAGTAGAAAGGTAAAACTTTCTTTCCCAAAGATTATATTGTTCTGTAACCAACCCTACTTCACGATAAATTGTACGTACTGAATGTTTTTTTAGAATAGATTGTGTAAATGTTCAAGTGCCTAATCTATATTTGGCAGTGGATATAACTCTATCTAATTTTCTTTATTGAGACTTATTATCCCCCACTATAGACTCCAAACCAAATTCATAGAAAACTAAACTGTGATCTGAAATATTGTTGTCAAGAACACGATGATTTCCTCTAACGGAAAAATTAACAAAAAATTTGATACGTTTCAATTGAATGATTTTGTACTAAAACTAAAATTATTGTTTCACGAATTGTATTTGATGGTTTGAATGAATATTCCACATATTTGCCCCATTTATACTTTGTCCAATGTAGTGACTTAATAATTAGCATATTTTTTTTCAATAAAAAATGTATCCAATGCTATATTCTTGAATCTTAGAAAATAGCATCAGATACATTTTTGTATTGTAGTCAGTCAATAACTGGTATCGAAAGTAAACTGGGTCATCAGTAGATCTTTAACTCTCAAAAATGTAGCTTAAGCCCTAAATTAAAAAATCTACTGCAAAAACATTGTCTCTGTCAACATTGAGCACATCTACGGGATCAACAGAAGACTCAATCCACAAATATCAAAGTTGAATGAGGCTTCCCAAAGCGATTCATTGTAAAACCAGTCTTAGACAGCGACTTCCTAGTGAGATTTCTCCTCTGTTTGTCACTGCAGAAAATGAAAGAAAGAAAATGAAATCTGATCAGTCTACGTTTACAGATCTGTGCATAGGAAACTTGACAGATTACCTTCAAATATAATACTTTGGCATTCATTTTTGGAAATGTAACTAATTTTATGTGATATTTTCATGCTTTACTGTAAATATATTGTGAATATACATTACCTTTTTTCAAACAAGAAGTATCCAGAAAAGATATGAGAGCAATAGGATAAATATTATTTGAATGCTTGGTATATGTTAATAAAAACCCAGAAAATGAAAATAAAAACATTTACTCAAGTCAATCTTACAAAACAGTAGAAAGCTACACCTTGTTGCACTGCAACCACATCCTTATCATAACCGTAGCCACTTCTGTGGTAAAAAATTTAAATATATAAGGTATCACTATTTCAGAGATGTTCTGCCCATGCCCACAGAGCAGACAGGTTTCGCGAGTATCAGACTGATGACGTTTATCTGCCATTCTAACAACTTCCGTGATTGGTCCATGGAGTGTTGAACAAGATGTACAAATGAACACCTAGAAGAAGAAAAAACATTCAGAAAAGTTTCACACAGAAAACCGAAAGATTACTTACTGTGGTTGCATCTGAACAATGGAGTAGCCGATCTTGCAACAGAAATGATGCTCCATGACTAATGAGGGAATCACGCTCCATCTCTCCGAACCGAGTACCCCCTCCTCTTTTTCGACCTTGCAATGGCTGTCTTGTCAAAGTGTTAATAGGACCTGTAGACCTCACCTAAAAAAAATTTAAAATTATTTTTCATTCAATGGTGAGTTAGTGTATTATAGTGATGACGATGGTAATTTCAATTTCCTGATCCCAGGAGTAAGCTATGAATATAGTTTTTGAAATAATTTTACAGGATTTGAGCAGCAGAGTTACTGAAGAAGCCCAAAATGTCACGCCATTACAGAAATGCTGATTGAGCTAGACCGAAATACGTAATACTCAGTAATTCCAGGAAGAGAGAGAGAAGAGGCCCTCTAATATTTTTAAATACTCACGAAATTGTGCTTAATTTTAAATCCAACATTACGACATGAGAGTCCAAAGCAATTTCTTCATTTCATTCACAGTGAATTGACTTTCCATTCAGGCATAGTTAAAGGTCAAAATCCTTTGTGCCATTTAAAAAAATACATATATAACATAAGGATAAGGATACCTTCATTGATAAACTTGAGTTATTGCTATCGAAACTACCGGTCATTAGCCAAGTTACGCTTGCTGGTGATTGGTTAAATGATGTTTCTATGGATAGACAAAAACTGTGAAATCTTTTAGATTTTTTCGATAAAAAAAATGCATGTAAACTCACCAACTTGCTCAACCCAATATTCATCATCATTGATTGATTATTTTTGTACTAGTCTGAGCAAAGATCTCATATCATGTGATGTTATCCCTTCCAGTCTGTCTGATCAGGATGCAATTTATACAAAATTCGATTTCGAAGTTGTTACAAGTTTAAAAAAAATACAGATATGATCGTTTATATAGCACGACCAACTATAATAGGTTTTATCAATCATCGCTCGAAAGTGACTGGGAAAATGTAGTCAATTTTGAAAATTTTTATAATACGTTAAAACATCTCTTTGAAACATCTTTCCCACCAAAAAAATATAAAAACGAAACCTTGGTTGACTAGAAGAATAAGAGTGTCATCAATAAATATGCCATCCTTGCATTATATACAAATAATATGCAAAAAATGAAAGTTTTCCTAAATATTTTAATTGATACAGAAAAACATATGAGAATGTGATGAGTGCTGCGTAACAAATATATTATCAAAACAGATTTCAATAATGCTGATAACAAAATGAAAGAAGGGTGGAATATAGTTAATGAATTGAGAGGAAAACAATCTAAAGGAAAATCCACCAACAGAGCAATAATTTCCATAACATCAAATAAACACTATTGTTCAATCACCGCAAAATATGCAGTCGATACAGTCTCGAGCAACAACCCAATTAAATATTTGAAGGAAATTCAAGTAGAACAACCATTTGATTTAATCCCAACTGACCTAAGTGAATTAAAAAAAGTTATCCAAGAAAATAGAAATAATAGAACCTCAGGTATTGATGAAAAATATGTTTAGGGAAGCGCAGAAGGGATTAACAAGGTATTGCTTTTCAACGCGCGATTTCTAACGCAGTTGATAACAACTGTAATTATTGTGCATAAAAATAGTCATGTTTTCATTGATCTCAAGACATAAATATTGATTTTTGAAATTAGCAAAACTAAAATTAATTCTCATAGTAGAAATATTGGTAAAAATAAAAAAATGTTTTCATTGTACATCAATACAATTGCATATTTTAAAGTGATTTTTATTCCTAATCAACTTTTTTCAATGAATTTTCGATATTGTCTAAAATAAAGGTACTTTACTGTTGAGAAATATTCATATTTCTTGAAAAACCTCATAGATGACTGAAAGAATTTAATTTTAAATTGAAAGGGTATATTTTTAATCTCTCCTAAAAATATATCCTTTCATTTTAAACAAGATTCCTTTGGCTGGGATTTATCAAATAAGCGAATGAATGTTACTTAAGTAATGTCATCGACAACATGGGTGGATTTGACCCATTCCATGACAAAAAGTTATGATTTTATGAACGAATTTAATGTTTTTTCTTATAATTTTATCCGTATTTGGTACTGAAGAGTCAACGGCGAAACATCCGGGTGTCTACCAGTGAGGATGACAGTGTTCCATGTAAGTGAAATTTTACTTCTTTCATTAATTATGTTGTGTAGGAATTTTGTCAATAATATCTGATTCGATTCCATTACAAATGTTAGGAATATAAACGGAATGGAATTTTTTTTTGTATAATTCCTTCCATTCTTCAAAAGATTCCCACTTTTTTTATATCACGATGGAGTAGTAGAAAGCCAAAACCTTTCTTTCCCATAGATTTTAGTTCTTGCTCAACATTTCACATAAATAACTTTTCACTTTAAATTGATGATAAAAAAGTTTTCCATATGGTTCCAACTTATTAAGACATAGGTACTGTATATTATATATTGATATTATACAATATTTTGTTTTTCGTGATATATATTATATCAACAAAAGATTATTATACTGATAGTGATATATACCTGCCACTTGTCAGACACCATATGCCTCAACCGCTGGTAGTGAACAACTCCAAAGAAAATGTCTGCAGACATTTCTCTGCCGTCAACTCCGGAGTAAAGTGTTTCTGTGCCATTGTAATTATAACCAGCCTTTTCCAACAGTTTTCCGAAATAATCGATGGCAGTTTCTTCTTCTGTGAACTTGAAAGGCGTAGCGTCGTGAACGACTCCGTGACAAGCAGCCGATTTGCCAGCCATGATTTCTATCATCATAGCAATTGTCATACGGGACGGAAATCCATGCGGGTTGAATACGATATCTGGGATCATTCCTAAAACATTAGACAAAGTTTGGAATAATTGATGGTTCAGACTTTGAATCAGTAATTTTATTTAGTGGTATGTTGTTTGTCTACTGGCTTTAGAGTTCAAAATTCTAAATTTGAAGGCAAAATTTCGACTTCAAAGGATATTGTCCATAATAATTATTGTACAATCTTCAAAAATACTTTTGGTGGTATTTTCATCAGTTAGACTAGTACATCAAACTATTCTACAAAGTATTTTGTATTACAGTAGGTAATTACAAAACTGAATTAATCATTTGTCCAATTAAATTTTGTAGGCAATTACATGTAGATTTTGAAAAAATAATTATGAGAGTAATTTTAATTACCTACTATTATATAAAAAACACTGTAGAATAAGAGTTTTGTAAGATAAGGAGTAGAAACTTCAAGATAATTATGGGAATTCCAAAAACTGAGATGAATGTAAAATAAAAGTCAGCATTCATCTCTATATGAAAAAAAAAATTCTATAAACTTTATAAGAGTAATATCATTCTATGGATGATCTCTTAAATTATGTATAAATGTAAAATTACTGTCGGCATTGAAGAACCTTTCAACTATTGTTATTTGAAGAGAATTAAAGCAGACCACGTTCTTATTGAAAGTAAACATAACAAAATTTGTTTAAGAAGTTTCAAAGTATCTAACGAAGGAAGAACCCACAAATATGAAAAAGGAGAAAATGAAAATAAACTTACCAGGTAAGAAGATAAAGAGTACAAAAATTTTACAATTCAGAAACTTTCTTGGCGTTATTTTCTTTTACCGCCCTCCCACGCTTTTTGTGTAAAATGTTGATTACATTTATCACTGAGCCTTGTGGAGCACATTTGCTATTTCCCCAGAGTAATGTCATTTATTTGAAAAATTTCTTTACTATTTCACATTCGGAAACCGAATAAGAACCAAAAAAATGAATCAGAAAGTGTATGTGAAACATTCGTTTTATGACATAGCTGTGATTGTTGTTTTTTATTATTTCACATTTCAGTATTATCAATTTCACCTTCATTACCCCAAAATTAGAGCGGCAGTTCAGAACTGACAGTTTATAAATTGAAAAAAGAAAGTGTGTGAAAAAATAGAAATTGTCCATTCATTTCTCTTCGTATATTTTTTTATGATTCTAAGAAAGGCCTCTCTTGAGGCTCTGCTCATCTTTCGGTAACAAAGCACCATCAAGAAAACGATACTAGGAGCAAGACGATTGAAGAAGATCATCATGTTGCATGTGGTATACAATTTGTTTGCCAAAAATCTTCAAGAAATTAGGAAAAATAACCTAATATGTCAAAAAAATATATGGAAGTTATAATAGTTAGTATTAAGTTTGATGTTTCTAAAACTTATTGCAAAAACTTACCAGTTTCTGTGAAAGGTAAATCCTCTGCAGCCAACTTTTGAGAACAAATACCCTTTTGTCCAGCCCTACTTGCAAATTTGTCACCGACACTTGGGTTCCTCTGAAACGAAAAAAAATGTAGATACACAACCGCAACTATAAAGAATTCTGACCAACAGTTCCAAACAAAAAACAACGCAAACTAAGACTTTGTTTGAACTAGGATTCTGTTTAATTTTTTTGGAGCCACAATAAACCCTTGCAGGTTGCAGTGGAGAGTCTACTTGAGCTAGACACTTTGAACCTAACCTAAGCTATCCTTGTTCAATTTCAACAAACTCAATTCAAAATTCAAAAATACTAACTGGTATCCTGTAGGTTATACAAGCCACTTTGGGAGATGCCTTCGAATCCAGATTTCCGCACATCTTCACGGTATTCACGTAACATACTTCTTTTCCTTTGAAAAGTTTCACCACAAATATCGACCTATCCGAATCGAAATAACAGTAATGCGGTTCGTTTTCCATCATTTTTCTGCCGATGTATGGCAATCCATCAGAATCGAGAAACTGAAGAAGGTTCTTTTGTTCAGGATCGATGGCAAAGTATGATGCTGGACGTTCAAGATCGATGAACTCGGATTTATATATCGAACCATGAGCCAGCCCACGTTCTTCTGAAAATTTATTTATTATCATGGCGTCTTCCATGTCATAACCCTGAAAAAATCAAATGGATGATATAGTCGGAAAAAATGTTAATTCTGTTAATTTGATATCTTTTCTCTTATTTAGTAAAAGTTCACCCAATATTTCCTTGTTCAAGTTTCAAAATCCAGCTCGAAGGTTAATAACAAAGAAACTTCTATCTGAAATGATGTTCAGATTATGTCCTGGTTATGGCTAAAATATATGAGCAACCAAAAATATTCAAAAATTAATATGCAATAAAAAGTAATTTCAGAAACAAAAAGTATGAAGAAAATATTCTCCAACTGAAATTGTTACGTACTAACTATTCAAAATATATTGGCTATTAAATAAACAACTTACATGTTATATATTTTAATATATAATATATTAAAATATATTGTATGTAAGTTGTTAATTCACCAGATGATGAATATTAGAAATAGTTTTCATCATCACATTTTGCACTT